CTGCAGATCACCGTGGAGAGCCTCGGCACCGCCAACGCCAGCGTGTCGGTGGAGATGCTGGCGTCGTTCACGGGTGAGCTTCTGCTTGCTCCAGCCCTCTGGGGAGTACCAGAGAGGATTTTGTGTCTGCTGGGTCCCTCCCGGGCCTTTGGGCAGCTGGCTGTAGCGGCCTGTGCCATGCTGGCTGGTGGGGTCTAACCTTAAAGGCTGAGATGTAGATGTTGCTTTGGGATCAGAAGTGAAGGTTCCTGCGTGCACCCAAGGGGGCCACTCCCTGGAGCTGCCTGGTTTGGAAATGCAAAGTTTAAAGTCTCTGAAGCGATGGGGTTTTCCAGGGGCTGACTGGGAAGCAGTGGCTGGCTTAAAATCTGATGGGGAGAATAGTTTTGGGTAGATGCAGCAGATGATAATGACACGTTGACTATCCATGGGCCATAAGCAGGCTACAGAGAGGAAACCATCTCACAGGGCTTTACTTGGAGTCATGCCTTGGGTTGCAGTGAGGGGATGTCACCATTTCTGTGACTCAGGAGGTCACAAGGTCCTTGTGGCTGTGATAGGCACCTTTGCATCCTTTTATTACGTGACCATAATCCCCGTTTGACTCTTGGAAGCTCACCAACTAGGTACATGTCTAAAGTTTACGACTGCTGAGGGTTCTGCCATCCTCTCCTCAACACACAGCCTCATCCTATGTGATGGAGGGCCTGTCACTGGCCAGTCCATACTCCCTGGGTACAAGGATATGTTATGATGCTGTGTGTTCTCTCTTCTGCTGGTCCCACCCCACTTTCCTGCAGCTCCTGGTTGCTTCCACTCACCGTACCCTGCTCTGGCTTCCATAGTGTCCCAGCCTGTGGGTGCTGATGCTGGGGGTCACGGTGCCTTTCAGGGGCTGCAGGCAGTACTGCAGTGCCTGAAGCACTGAACTGGCTCCAGTTTCTGCTGTCACTTGAAGGTCTGGAGCTGCCAGAGCCCTGCCTGGATGAGGGGCTAGTCCTGGCTGTGCTGATTCCTCTCCTTTTTTCCTTTACAGCCTGCAGACCAGGAAGCACCAGTTCATTCCTTAACTTCAGCAGCCTAAACCAGAGCCAAACTGGTCCCAGGCCAGGTAGCCCAGGAGCAGCAGGGAGCTCCTCTCTGGCTACAGGAGAGGCTTCAGGCAACGCATCCAGCCAGAGGAGCTTCTGCCTGCAGACCCAGCCCATCGTCCGGGAGGACCTGGACGTGGTGTCCGTGCGCTACAGGCTCCTCAACGGCCCCAGCGTGCCCGTGACCTCCCTCTCCCCGACCCTCCTCCTCCTCAACCTCAACACTGGCATGGACAGCGGGGGCTCCCTCGTGGTCAACCTCCTGCTCAACAAGGTGCGGAGGCTGGGGGGTGGGAGGCTCTCCCCTCTGTGGGGCGTCATCCCTGCTCCTGGGCTGGTTTGTCAGCAAACTCCGGGGGCTGGAGGTACCAGTGGGACCATTTCTCTTTCTTTTTTGTTGTCACAAAACACTCTGAGCCTGTTCTGGCTGCTTCCAGCATGTCCCACCTACCGGCTCCAATTCAAATGCCACAGCTCGCTGGCACGGGGCGGCGGTGACGCAGAGGAGACAAAATGGGAAGCAGCTGCAATGCCATCTTCTCCACGGGAGCCTGGCACCTCGCCACCGTGAGAGGAGACTGAGCAGGGAAACCCGGGGATGTCCCTGCCCAAGTCCCACTGATTCCCAAGCTCCTTCAGCCACCCCCCTGATATCCCAGGAAACTTCCTGAGGGCTGGAGTGGGGCTCAGCCCTGACATCCTGCTGCCTCTGACTGCCAGCACCCCCAGCTTGTGCTGAAGTGAGGTGTGAGTGTCCCGGCTTTGGGGCACTCCCCAGGGAGGCTCTCCTGCCTTTCAGCCAGCCCCTAACACGGTGGCAGTGCAGGGCAAGCTGAGATGGGTTAGCCCAGAAATAGAATCATGGAATGGCTGAGGTTGGAAGGGACCCTGGAGATCACCTCATCCAACCCCTTGCCATGGGCAGGGATGTCTCTCAACTAGACCAGGTTGACTCAAGGCCTCATCCATCCTGGCCTTGAACACCTCCTGGGAGAGGCATCCATCCACAGCCTCTCTGGGCAATCTAGTCCAGAGTCTGGCCACCTTTGTGCTGAGGAGCTTCTTCCCAAGATCCAGTCTAAACCTGCTCTCCTTTAGTTCAAAACTATTTCCCCTTGTCCTGTAGCTGGGCACTCTTGTGCCAAGTCCCTCTCCAGCCTTCCCGGAGGTCCCCTTCAGGTACTGGCAGGCAGTTCTAAGGTCCCCCTGGAGTCCTCCCTTCCCCAGGCTGAACACTCCCAGGATCTGTTGTCCCCTGCTGCTCCCTACACCCGAGGGTGGTGCAGGAGGCGGGCAGGGGTGGCAGGGGGGTGCCCTGACCTGGGACACTGCTCTGTTTGCACAGACGTCCGTGGGCCTGGCCAACGCCACGGTGGCCGCGTGCGTGAGCGCTGCCTCGCCCGTGCTCTCCCTCAACGCCACCCAGAACTGCAGCACAGGTAGGAGAGAGGCCTCGCCAGCTCTTCACTGACCCAGGGCTTCATGGGGTGCCCCCGGGAACTCCCCCCGAGGTCTTTCTGCTGGCGCCCGCCCAGGGGGCTGGGGTGCAGGGCTAGGCTGGCACCGGGAGTCAGCCTCCACCGAAGGGAGGGCTGGGCACCAGCTGGGGCACTTCCAGCCTCACTGGCAGGAGCTCTGGGGATCCTCGAGGTGTTTCTGATGTGCAGAGAAGCCTGAGCTCCATGCTGAAGGACTACCCAAGCAAACAGGCTGTTGCAGGTGCCTTGTGGTGTCTAGGCAGGTGCCAAGAGCTGAGACGAAAGAAAAAGAGGAGTCTCAAGACTCTTGTGCCCCCTCCAAGGATGGGAGCAAGGAGCCACAGGAGCATCTGGTTCCTGTGCAGTTGGTCTCAGCATGGGATTGCTGTGGGCTCTTCTCTCCTAGTCTTGGCCCAGCACAGCACCCTCTTTCCTTGAAGCTTTTTTCCAGGGCTACCCTCTGAGCATGAGGACGTCCTCTGCGGAGGCGATGCTGATCGTCCTGTACCCACAGACAGACGTCTGGTTCCTCTCCCTGCAGCTCATCTGCCCGAAGGGCCAGGGGTGAGTCTGGTGTGTCATCCCACCTCGGGGCTGCTTCAGAGCACTCTGCCTCCGCGTCCTGCTGCCCTTGGCTAGCACGAGCCAAACAGAACCCCTGTCCCCACCACCGTGCCACGGGCTCATCTCACCCGGCCAAAAAAAGGCCGGCCGGAAGCCGTGGCCACAGAGGGGGCAGGGGGTGGGTGGCAGTGCTGACTCGCTCTCTTGTGAGCACCCAAGCAGCTCATCTGGTGCCGAGCTGGCACATCCCATGCCAGCTGCAGGTGGCAGAGCCTACCTGGATGGGCTTCCCCTTCCCTGCGGGGTTTTGAGGGGACAGACTGGTAAATGAAAGTGCTGCTGTCACTCCTTCGAGGGGTCTCTGAGCTGCAGGCAGCCCTGCCCCTGCATTTCACCTTCCTGCCGGCTCCTTGCGTGAGGGGCCGAGCACGTGCCGTAACTGGCACTGGCCACGCTGGCCCTGGGTGCCGGGGTCTGCTCTGGGCATCGGGGGGAGCTGCCAGCTGCCTGCACGTCG